GGATGGTTCAGGACTCACCTGATCCAGCCCTAACTATGCTCACACATTGCAGATATTTCTCTTTTCTTACAGCTTTTAACTCCCTCACACTCAACAAAACAGCACTGTTAGGTGCTCACAGAACAATACTGTCTTTTTCATGTAGCCTTAAAATTCCTTTGCAATTTCTTTGCAGCTTGTCACCTCCTTTGAGAATTGGAGGCAAGATTGTTTCCTCAGGCAGCCACAGAGCTGTTAATGAAATGTTCCTTCTGGCAAGCTGAGCTCTGTTTAGTGGCAGTGACTCCTCTGAACACTGCAGCTGGATGTGTTGTGGTTAGGAAGACCTGTACATCTCAGACTGAGTAGACGAACCAGAGATACTTTTGGATTCAACATCATTTTGAAGTGACGCCTGTAACTCCTGACGACGCTCGACAGCAGAGGCCATGATCCTGTGTTCTCCTCCATCTGCCCAACAATGAAGTAGAGTAGATCACTAATTTAAAAGGTGTTTTGAAACATGGGCTGTAAAGGTTTAGAATTTAATAAAGTAAAGCAGACTGTCTACTGACACTAGGTCTTATAATAATGTCATTAAAGGTGAACTTGTGATATGCGGTGGCAATTTCTGTGAATCAAGCACTCAGTCACACACTTGTCTTTCTTTAAGTATAATTCAGCATCTGCAGATGTACTCAGTACAATCAACTGAATGACATGTACAAATGAGCAAAGAACAGAGGGGGAGTCTGTGTCTTTTTACTCACAGGCCCCCTACCATTGGGTATGTAAAGGTATTTATTACCCTCCTGGTTTCTTATCAGTTGGGGTGACATCCTGCCTTCACGTCTCTGTGGAAGACCCCTGGTGTAAATCCCAACCATATAAGAGGCCATAATGTCAAAGCCTCTTTGCAATAATCGTAAACCTAAAGTGGCCTTTTAGATTTACAATCTGGTCAACCTTCCACACACATCTGCTCATGCTGTATCACATACACACATTACAAAATGTATTTTACAAATATTAGAAACAAAACATTTTTAGTGCATTGAATGTATGAAATTATTAATGACTCAGGTTTCTTCAGCCTTCTATATGCTACCTGCTGATGTTAGGTCAAACTTCATTGTGTCATGTTTGCACAAGCTATTAGGAGCAGACACATGGCTGAATAAAGCAGACCTCTCATGGAATGTGATGTATTGTAGTGTCTGGTCTGTGTCACCACACCTTGTATGGATTATGAAAAATGCATCACTCGATGTTGTGTTTTGTCATGACAAGCACCTGAGCATATCCCAACCAGTTACAACATCAGATCACTGACTGGAGCACACACGAAAAAAAAACCCCATGATTTAATTTGATACAGTAACCGCAATATATTTTTTAAATCCAAGTTATTTTAAAATCTGTTATTTTTCTAAATTAGTTTCAGAAAACTAAATAAATATTAAAAAGGCGAAGCAAATATAATTTTACTTTCCGTCTGGGGACTAATTGAGTGATACTTCAGTGTTTTTTTAACTATTTTTCTATTTGTCTCTTATTATTTTTATTATTTGTTTTCATTTCCTGTAATGCTGATGGAATTTTAATTTCCCTGAGAGATTTCCCCCAAAGGATCAATAAAGTTCAATCTTATCTAATCTCTGATTTGTACTCCTTGTTTTGAGTGCTGCTTTTGACACAGTGGATCATTGCATTCTATTGGAGAGACTGAGGAAGTGGGTGGGCTTAACAGGTACTGCAATGAATTGGAACAAATCTTAAACATCAGAGACAAAAGTCTGCATGCTGATAACCAATGCTGTTCTGTTCTCATTGCATATGTTCCCATTAGGAAATATCGGGAGACATGATGTTGAGCAGCATGTCAATAAACTTGTACAAATGTGTTTTTATCAGCTGAGAAATATTGCGAGAATAAATTAGATTTTGTTTGTTACATTTTAAAGAAACAGAAACTATTTTACATGTGTTTATCTCATTACGCCTGGATTACTGCACCAGTCTTTGTTCTTCCTTTGATAGTGAATCTGTAGAACTTCTTCAGACAGTTCAGAACTGAGCTGCCAGGTTTTTAACCAGAGTAAACAGGTTGGAACTCATCATTCTGGTTTTAGCCTCTTTACACTGGCTTCCATTATATTTTGGAATAGGGTTTAATGTTCTTTTTAATACTTTTTAATACAAGGCACTTAATGGTCAGTCTTCAGATAATTGTGAATCTTTCATCCCCATTCAACCCTGAGTATAAAGTCAGAAGAGACATATGAAGAAAAGATTATCCCGAGGACAGAGTCAGCAGAGAAAATTGAAGACCAGACTGTCCTGAGGAAAGAGACAACAAAGACAACTGAAGACCAGACTGTCCTGAGGAAAGAGACAATTGAAGACCAGACTGTCCTGAGGGTGGACTCAGCAGAGATGAATAACGACTGCTCGCTCTTTGAGATCCTCTATCAGGGGCCTCTAATCTGTTCTCAGCTAAAGACTGAGGGGTGACAGAGCTTTAAAAATGTTTGAGAACTCTGAGGCTCTGTTCATCTTCTTTGTTTATTGGTGGGTAACAACCAACATCAAAACATTACTGCCATCTGCTGTGTCTTCCCCTTCTCTGTCTTATGAGTGTTTCTTCTCTTGAACACCCTGCCTGAGTAAATACAGCAGGCTGAGAGTCAAAGCTTAAATCCTACTTTTACACATTGCATTGCCTTATTTTACCTCATTCTACTTTTTATAATTGTAATGGGTGGTCATGCTGAAATGTTAATGTTTTTTATTATTTGATTTGTTTTTTGTTGTACGTGTTTTTACTTGTTTTCTTTCATTGTGAGGCACTTAACCTATTTTGAGATGTGCT